GCACATGCAGGATAATTAAATAAGACAGCTTTCTCCAAATAATAATAGTGTTGTAATGTCAGACAATGAAGGGACCCAGCCAGCCCAGGCAGGTCTCCTCCTCCCGTTCTGGCTGTGCTGCCTGGACTTTTCCAAGGGACAAAGTGGCATTAAAGCTGATGGAATCACTCAGGATGTTCTTGAGAGGCTTTTCCCTCCCTGCCATCAGCGCCCCTTTTTCTCTCCTTTACAGCTTTGCCAAATTTTAAGCAAAACACTTTAAAAATACTTGATAGATTTTTTCCCCCCAAAGAACGCTGACAGAAAATTCTTTATATATATCTGAAGAACACCTTTAACCAGTGACATCTGTCCCAGCCCCTGGTTAGGGCATGGTATTCCCTTCAGGGGAGACGGACACACAGCTCACCCTTGTGAAGCTCCAGGTGAAACAGATTTTTGGAGTTCACTTAAATTAACAAAATAAATTAAGCATTTATATTCTAGCTTGTAGAGTTATGTGTTGAAGTTTAACCTTTTACTTAAGAAACCTCTGCCATGATACAAAAGGGCATAGGAAAATGCAAATTTCTGAAGCTTCTTGCACAAAGAACAATACCTAGGGAGGCAAAGAACCCAGATAAAGAAGTTTCCCTGTCTCCAAGCCCATCAAGACTGACAGACTACTCAGATAAACACCAAAGGACTGAAAGTGCACATGCAAAGGAGAACAGTTCAAAAGTTCAACCATGAGGAAGACCACGATCTTCAGCCCCAAGAGACCACCAGAGACACCCTCAGGACCACCACAGCAAACCAGGCGTGCCCAGAAGGGCCTGGACCTGCTCAGCATGAGAGGCGAGGACAGGCCAGGGGTTGGATATGCATGGAAAGCTGTGCAATGTGCTGCACATGGAACACCTTGGGAATAAAGGTGTGGGGCAGACCAGGCTCAGGGCACAAGTTTTTGGGGAGATATCTCACTTGTGCCAAGCACTGACAATACATACCCACTTCAGAGCTACCCCAGCTGGTGGAGTCTGGTTATTTATTCCCTGTATCACTTCACAGATATCCTCCTCCTGCAGCCCTGGAGCAGCTCCTGGCGAGCAGGACCGTCCTGCAGAGCCCAGCGCTGCCAGCACCACGCTGGGACTGCCCAGGGGCATCCCGGGGTGGGCAGAGCTGCAGCTCCGCAGTGCCACCGCACCCACCGGCTCACATCCCTGGAAACGGGTCCTGGACACTCTGCCATTGCTGCCCAGAAGTTAATTACTCTTAATGACTCTGTTTTTAATGGCACAACAGCACAGGGGCTCTCCGAGGGATGACTTTGCCTGTATAAATGCGGGTCAGGAAGGCTTTGTTTGGAAACTGCTTCCACAGGAGCCCAGTGCTCATTTCACAGCAGCAGGAAAAGCCTGCACACAGAACCGAGGAACCCCAGGCTGGTTTGGGTGGAAGGGCCCTTAGGGAGCATCCAGCCCCAAACCCTGTGCCACAGCAGGGACACCTTCCACACCACACATCTTCACACCCACACCTGCCTGATTTCCAGCTGTGTCCTTTTGGGAATTCAATGGTTTTTGTTGAACTGAAGTAGAGGTCACTTTAGCAGAGAAAAGAAAAATCCTGGGAACTTCCTAGATTTTGTTGTTTGCTGTAACAGAGTTAGAGAAAACTCCATTTCTTTAGGCACCAAATACATCCCCCGTTGGACCAGCCCAACCCAGTTAGCCCAAAGCATGGCCACTGGCTGCTGTTCCCTAATTCTCCAGGAGCAGTGATCCAGGGGAGTCCCCAGCGGAAGGTGCCATGGGACCCAATCCTACCACAGCTGGCACTCCGCTAATTAGTCCTGACAAATCCTGATAATGAATCATTGAGAATATGAGTTAAGCATGAAATAAAGCAAACAGCAAGGATCTTATGTAATTCTTCCTACTTCAATGGCTGCAGGAATTGAGTCATGAGATTGTTTTGGAACATTTTATGACACAAGTCGGGAGAGCTCTTTGTAAATGAAGTTTTAACTTTCTTTCTTTAAGGGCTCTTCATGGCTGTGCACATTTTGTACAAGTAGAGATCTTTCCCTCATCTCTTTTATTTATTCCCTTAATGCCCTTCTTCATTCATTTTGTAGCAACCCTGGTCTGTGCAAGGCTTTAGCCAGTGTACAACAACAGCAAACTCAGGCAGAAAGCATCGACAGCCTGCTCTCCCCAGGTAATGCTAACAGCTCCTTTCTGTTGCTGTGGGCTCAGGGTATAGATTTTTTCCTTTATTCTCTTGCTCTGATTGACTATCAGGCAATCCTGCCCTTTCCCCATTTTCTGGTCCTTAACCATGGCTTTCTTTCATGCCCTATCATATTCCATGAAATGAATTTTCCCCTGGGTTCACCTTTCTCAGCGCTCACCTGGTGGGCCTCTGGATCCTGGTGTTCATCTCAGCTCAGCTCAGCCCAGCCAAACCCAGCCCAGTCCAGCCCAGCCCAACTCAGCCCAGCCCAGCCCAACTCAGCCCAGCCAAACCCAGCCCAGCCCAGCTCAGCCCTCCATGCCTTGCTGTGCTGGTGACACTTTTCTGTTGGTTTAAGGCACAGACACACTGCCCAACAGAAATGACAGATATTGGCACGTTATTGCAAACATGGCCCAGGCAGTTTTTGGTATAAAATGCAAACACCCCCTGAGGGCAGAGAGAATGCCATGGCCGAGCTGCTGCCAGAGCTCAGCAGGGCAGAGAGAGAATGTTCTGGAGAAGGGAAAATGAACAGCTTGAGAAGCTGATCCTGCACACTCAGACTGCTCCTCTGGCTGCAGGGCTGGGAGAAGGAGGATTTTGCACTCCTGGGGTCGTTCCAAAGCAAAGCAGACCCCAAACCTTCTCTGTGGGGAGCAGCAGGTGCTGGTGGAGCCTTCAGTGAGCTCCGAGGCTGGGCTGCTCCTCCCGGGGCAGGAGCTGTGCCTGAAGCAGCTGAGGTCAGTGTGGCACTGGCTGCCAGCCTCAAAGCTGATCCACTTCCACTCAGGTCGATGAGAACTCATTAATTGCAAAGGTTGGAGCATTAATTTGAGATCCTTATCAGAGCAGGGGGAGGCAGTCTGCAGGAGCACAGGACAGAGGAGATCCTGGCGCTGGGCACCAGCAGAACCAGGTTAAATTCCTTTCACGGGAGATTAGGTGGGCCACAAGGGTTACAAACAGCCTCTGTGTGTGTGTAGCAATGTTTTACACCCAGAGCAAATGGATTTTATCCACAATTAGCCCAAACCGAGGCCTGCCCTTAGCGAGGTGTTCCAATGGCTCAGGATTCGCCGCGGTACAAATTGAAGTGCCTGAGGGTTAGAGAGGGGACCTGCCTCAATACCCTCCCAAAAATCCCATCCCAACCTCAGCCGTGCTCACGAGACCCTCTGGGAGACAATTACTGAGTTAGAAAAAGGCTTTTCTGAAATCCAGCAGGGCAGGGGTGGCTGTGCCTGCGCAGAGCTCACATTTTCCACCTTGTTGGCTTCTGTTTGGTCCTTGAAGAGGACCAAAATACTTTGTCTGACCAAAACTAAACACATTGCAATGAATAGTTAAAGTATTTTTCTTATTTTTTTCGGTTAAATGGAAACAAATGTTATAATTTCTTGATGTTATTAGGGCATTTTGTTGAAAAATCGCTGTTAAAATGCCAGTTTCCTGTGCAAGGTGTGAGGCAGCCCCTGGCCCTCCTGGAGCTGTCCCTGAGGGCTGTGGCTGTGTCACCAGGCAGGGGCTGGGCTGCAGAGAGAATTCCTGGCTCAGAACCCAGCCGGGCACAGCCCTGGGCTCTGCTTTGGGCTGGATGCCATGGGCTGTGTTAGGGATGCTGCCAGACCCATCTCCCATCTCAGTTATCCACCATAAATGCATTTTCCTCATTCCAAAGGACACCCCAGTGCAAAGCAGGGCATGGGGAGGGGATCTGGGGGATTTGTGCAGGAGATGCCCCCCCAGCTCCTGGTGCTGGCTCCATCCCTGCCCTGCCTGCAGCCACCCCTCCTCAGAACCACAATTAAATACCCAGCAATAATGCAGAGCAGGACATTCCTGCCTGTCCCAGCTTCTCCCAGGTGTGACAGGAGCTGCTTTGGGCCCAGCAAGGACTGTTTCATTGTGATATGCAGAGCTGAAGCCCAAATCTGATACAGATATTGGATCAAACCTTGTACTCCGTGGCAATCTAATTTTATCCTGACATGTTGATTGCTCGCTCTTCATCTGTGGCTGCTGTCCCAAAGGGGCTAAGTGAGAGGAGCTGCATCTTTTTTTTCCCTTTCCTGTAAGATGACATGAAATAAATTCAGAAGAACACACACAAGAACAATGTGGGGTTTGTTATTCACAAGACAGCTTCGAGAAGGGAAAAAATTGGAGCTGAGATTTGTGAAGGATGGTACAAAATATGATGGAATTTCTGACTAATAAATCACAGAGAACCATTCCAAACCAAGGGAACTGGTCCATGCAGGGGCTTTTGAAAATCACTCTGTATTGTTCTCCCTCCTTTCCAGCAGGTGGGAAAGATGGAATTTCTGGGAAAAGCCAGGCTGTGACTCATGCAGTCTATGGGCAGGTGCTAATGGGGAATTTTCAGCTCCCAGACCAACCAAATCCAACCCCCAAATGCAGGTGCAAGATTTCCTCAGGGATCTGGAGTTTCGAAGGGAGAAACATCCTCAGGAAGCTGTGGCACAGTGGAGAATTAATTACCTGTCATTTCGATTAGGGCTTGCAAAAATTCAAAGGATTTCCACAGATTTCCATGGATATCAAATTCCAAATATAAAGCTGAGGGAGACACCAGCAAGGGGCACAGCACCAGACTTGCACAGCAAAAGCAACACGAGCCCTTGGAAGCACCAAAGCAGCGGCAGACAGGAGGAGAAACAAGCCCCAAGTCAGGCAGAAAGCCACAGGCAGGAGATCTCTGGGTGAAAAGCACACCTCTCACTCAAACATTGGTGCATTTTAACAGAAAAAGACCATCATGAAACGATTTTCCCCATTTAATTCTGCTAAAAGCAGCCAGTGCTGAGCTCCTGCTCCTCCCAGTCGAGCCCTCAGTGCATGGAGGATCCCTGGCCCATCTCTCTGGCCCTGGGGGTCACGGGTTCAGTTCAGCAAATATTGGTCCTGCTAATGAAAGAGGGAAACCCCATGTCAATATTTGCAGAGCCAAAGCGCTGCCCTTAATTTTCTTGCAAATATTTAAAGAAAAAGTCAAACAGAAACTCACCCGCCCATCAGGAAAACCTCATTTGCACCACTGACAATCCAGAATTTCTCACTGAACCTCTCTCACTTCTAATAACCCAAAACTTAGAAGTGTTTCTTAATTTTAGCAGCTTTTTTTTTCTCTTGACCCAGATACACACAAGCTTTTACTACTGGGAGATGCGATGTTCCTGCAGCAGTGCTAAACCCATCATTTATTTTTATATTAAACTTGGAGAGTTTCTCTCCTTCCTCTTTAATTACCCACCTGGACGGTGCTCTGCATGCTCTCTAAGTTTAGAAGGTGTCTCATATTCCCACTCTGGCTCCTCCATTAGCTCAGGGTCCAACTCTGCCTAAATCAAACTGAATATTTAAGACACACCAGTGGTGGCTCAGGGTTGGCATGAGTAGACAAGAATAAAATTGCTTTTTATAAGGTTTTTATTAAAAGCAGTTCAGTTTGGAGAACCAGAAGATGAATTAGAAGAGTGATGTGTGTTAATTGCAGACAGTTAATTTAATTAGGGTGGCTGATGAGTGCAGGGCAGTGCTGGCTGGAGACTGAGTGGGCTCCAGCTCTGTCACAGCCACGGAGAAAAATCCATGTCCTCAAGGCATCCCCTGATTTTTCTGGTGGTTTGACTCATTAGCAATTTTCCTTTCCATGCTCTTTGAGGGGGAAAAAAGGAAAAAAAAAAGGCATTTTGGAGAAGAGAGGAAGAAGTAAAAGACAGGCAGACCCAGGAGAGCACTTAGGGAGGAAGAAGCCCTCCCGTGTTTGGTGTTTTCCATTTCCACCCGGTGGCTCAGCAGCAGGGGTTACCTGAGGCAGCCCCAGCACTTCCAGAGGGCTCAGCCTGCCCAGCCTTGGCCCTGGGGAGCCACAGGAGTGGGCAGGAGCTTTTAGTGCTCCTAAACAAGACATGGATTCTAAACAGGAATTCAAATCCCACCCCATAAATCACCAGCTTCCCATCGGAGCAACGCCTGGGAGAGGGCTGGATTGAGATGTGCTGAGTCAATGTTTGAAATCAAAGTAGCCACTGACAATCCTCTTCAAACATGGCAAATTTCCCTTTTCCTCACTGCCAGGAAGGAGAATCTTCCCTTCCTAAATGGGAATTTTTACCATTACTTTACGTCCTTTTCTGTTTTTATGAGGCAAAAGTTATGAAGGCATTTCAAACATGAATTACTTGAAATGTCTGCTTAAACCCCACCAGAACTAAGCTTGAATTCTTTAGATTGGAGTGTTCTGGAGTTAATTCTCCATTTCCACACCAGTGAAATTGTGGATTTGTTCAAATCTAAGGAACGTTTAAGGTTGGACTCGATGTTCCTGGAGGTCTTTTTCGACTGTGCTCATCCTGTGATTCTGTGAACACAGTCTGAAAAATCAGAAGGAAAACAAGACAATTAGAGCATTCCCTGAGGGAAGCAGACCCATTCCAGCTCCTCCTGTGCCCAAGGGCTGCACGTTGGGTCTCTCCTTGGGCAGAGCCTTTTCCTGCTCCTTTGCTGCGTGTTGGGAGTGCTCCAGAGCCCAGAGCCAGCGGGAGTGGGGACCTGGAAAGGGGCTGGATTCTGTGTGTCCACAGGGAGAGGAGCAACTGCAGCCTCTCTTCTGCAGGAGAGGCCTCCAGAGAAGGTGGCTGGGCTGGAGGAGCAGGGCTGTGAGGAAGCAAAGCAGCCAAGAGCCACGCCAGGCAAGTTTAACAGCTGCATTATTTAAAATTATTTAATTGACAGTGAGTGTGTAATCTAAGGCTGCGATGTAAGCAAAAACCCACTTGAGCCAAATTGCTGTGACACAATCATTGGCTGATTAATCCCCAAAGTACACTTTAAAGGACACAGCCAAAGACTTCAGGACAACGGTCTCATTTTTACTGTGCCACATCATATTTTTCATTTACGAGAGCAGCTCTTGCTAAAGACCTGTAATTTCATCTTTGGTTCACCCTGCGAGGAGTCTCTGCCTCATCCCAAAATACTCACTTAGAGAAGCTTTCACCAAAAGCTTGCAGCCAACAATAAAAACAATCGCCCTGAAACCACCCTCAATTTGGGGCACTTCCATCAATCCAGCTCCTGCTGACGCTCCCACTGGAGCTCGGGCTGTTAAATGATTTCTCACTTTCATCCTCGCTCTGAAACTGCACAAAATTCTCACATTTGGGCACCGCTGGAAGCAAGAGCAGGAAAGCTGCAAAGCTCCTGGGCCCCCGTGCGAGGCAGGGAGGATTTTGCCCGAAATGTCCCCGTTTCCATCACATCCCTCATGCTAACTGAGTTTTAAACCTTGACTTGAGCTTCCTGTTGGCAGCTGCTGGCCCACCACACCATCCCTTCAGGGCCATTGGGTGTCTCCTGGGATCTGGGTTCAGCTCCAGGTTTTCCACACTTTTCCTGCACAGGACTCCAGGGAACGATCTCGTTCCTCGCTGCTGCAGTTCCTCTCCCTCTCAGCAATAACAAACCCACTAATTCACATCGCTCCCAGACACGAGAGCCATAGCAATAAAACTTGCAAACAGAGGAGAGAGAGAGAAACACGTAAATATGATTCAAACCTAAGCTGAAGTTACTAAAATCCAATTGAATTCAAATTTCTTTTCCTCCTTCCCCTGGCTGATGTTTCCCCAAAGCTACTCCCTTGAATTACATGTGCACAGTCACCCTTCATTTCCATCAGCTGCATTCCCACATTGGAAAAAACCCCACCAGCTTGTGATGCCTATGGAGAAAATAATCTAAATGATGAAGGTTTTGTCCAGGTGAGTTCTGGGTGCCTGGAAAGACTGAACAGCCAGGGATACCTCTGATACTGGAAGGGTTTGCAGGAATGAGACCAAGCAGAGGTCTGACCCCCATTTCCAAAGGAGCAGAGCGTTTCTAGAAGCACAACAAAGAGCTTGAGCAGTGGCAGCAAGCAAAAAAAATGGTGAGAATTGGGTTTGGAGAAGCGTAGGCAGTGTCTCACCATCATCAGGCCAAACCTTCCTGCTGGAGCACGGGCAGGGCACCAGAGAGGTGGCAGCTGTGAAGGGGCCGTGCTGGGCTGACACCGATGCTGCTGGATTTGGTTGTTTCCAGGATTTCAGCCCTAGGGAACAAGAAGGATGCTGGTCAGACATGGTTGGCAGCACCACTGCCTGCTTCTGACTGCCCAGGAAACGTGGATGTGTGGCAAGCACAGCTTCCCAATGTAATGGGGTTTTTGGTGGGATGAGAGAATTGACTGTACAGGTGGTGTTGAGCACAGACCTTCCAGAAGCCAACTGCAAAATAATCTCAGATAGCCAAGAAATTGCTGAGATCCTCAGAGATCATCCCCTGTGGGGTGGAGAGGCCCTGCAGGGGATTTCCCAGAGCAGCTGTGGATGCCCCTGGATCCCAAGGCCAGGTTGGACACTGGGGCTGGCAGCACCTGGGACAGAGGGAGGTGTCCCTGCCTTGGGACACTGCCAGCCCAACCCATTCTGTGATTCCCCCTACAGAGCACACACAATAAATACATTTTCTTTGGAGCACTCTCATCCAGGGTCCCCTCCAGGGGCAGTGCTGTGGGTGCAGACACGGGGAGGTCACTCCAACTCCAGGAGTGACCACAGGATCAGCCCCGAGCTCGAGCTGAAATGTGAAATCTCCCCTGTGTTCCATCAGCCTGTGTGGAGGCCTCTTGCAAAACCAGCCCTAATATTCAAAATTTAGCAACACCATCTGTTAGAGACTTTGTTAAATAAAAACAACTCATTACTGAACTTAGATCTGGGAGAAGGATCACTTTCCTTCACATAAAACTGATTTTCTTCAGCTGGAAAAACACAAATAGTTGTTTCCCAGCATTTCTGAACCGTTTCCAAAGGTTCCTGACAGCCGCCACGTTCCTGACCTGTAGCCAAAGAAATAAGTGTACTATTAATCTGGAACTGGCAGTAAGTCCTGACATTTGAATGATGTTGCTGAAAGGTGTCTTTGTACCAGCTGGTAAATAACGATCCCCTAATTACAGATATAAATCTGGGGAGGCAGGAATTCGCAGTTCAAAGTGATGAAAATGTTTAATAAAATATGGCCCAGAAATGGAGAACGTGATTAGATTCAGCATCTTGACCACAGGGGTGCTCTGGATCTGCTGATGGAGCCACAGCCCCTGAGGATGGCACCTCCCTGTCCCAGATATGTTGGAATTGTCCCAAAAATCTGAGCAGCCAGCGTGGCATGGAACCCTTCTTACCCATCCAGGTTCTTCTGGCTGCTGCAGAGAAGAGCCTTTATGATGTGCTGATAATCAGCAGACCTTCGTTAATTGTGTTTCTCCAGTGAAGTTTGATGAAGATATGGTTTCCTTTTGGGGCCTGGAATTTGTCACCTCTGTGATTCAGACTTATGTCATAGATCTCTAATGACAGAAATTGGAAAGAGCTCAAAACTGTAGTTTATTTTCTTAATAGTTTTTTTTAATTGCTTTTTAAAATTCTATTCCAAGTCAACTATTCTACAAAAGCCATGGTAGCTTGATCTGAAATGGCTTCATTTTGGTGCTTCACTTTCAGTTTTTTTTAATGTTACATTTATTCATTATAATTTTTTGCTGTTTTTTTGGCAGTGGATAAAGACAAATTCTTTTACTTGAGATTGATTTTTCTAATTGTGGCCTCACCAGAAATCCCCATCAGAGCTTCTCCAGTGACTCCCACAACTCACCGAGTGCAGCTCAAAGCCTGAGACAAAGCCCATCCAAGGGTCTGCATGGAGGAGATCGTTGAGGTGACTTGGTGGATATCATGGAATGTTCTGAGCTGGAGGGACCCAGCAGGATCCCCCAGCCCAGCCCTGTCCCTGCCCAGGCACCCCAAATCCCACCCTGGCCATCCCTGGAGCTCTGTCCAAAGGCTCCTGGAGCTCTGGGGCCGTCCCCATTCCCTGGGCAGTGCCAGCCCCCTCTGGGGATGAACCTTTCCCAAAACCAGAACAAAATAATACATACAGGTGTATATAGAATACCTTGTAAATTCTAACACAGCCTGGGGAATGGTGAGTGACCTTTCTGACTGCTGAGACACAGCACAGTTCAGTCCAGGCTGGATTTCCCATCTCAGAATTGTAATTATCAGCCACAGCTGATTTCAGCCCAGATCTCTATCCCACCTCTAAGCTTCCCTCCCCTCAGCTGAGCCTGGAAGGAGAATGACAGGCTCAGCCTCCCTGCCCTGCTGCAGGCAGGGAAGTTCACTGCCAAGCTGCCAGTGCAGTTCCTTTCTCCAGCACTACATTCATTAACTCTGCAGCACAACACCCAAATTA